CTGCTCAACCCACACACACACACACACACACACACACACACACACACACACACACACACACACACACACACACACACACACACACACACACATATACATGGAACACGTGAAACGACCATGCAGTGTAAATCCGGCGTTATTTGCACACGCCTTTTTCCATTGACCACCAAAAACTGGATGACTCTACAGTCGAATCTCTGTGGTCAAACACAGTCCAAAGTTTCACCAGAGGAAATAATGCAAATACAATTCCACTCTTCCCGGGTGAAGCTGTCATCTTCATAAAAACCTTGAAGGGAAGTTTCAAGGTATATTTTGACATTTTTTCCTGCGTTGAAAAAGGAGTTACCCGTTATATATAACCAAAAAAAAACAAACAAAACATACTCATTATTAACCCTGACAAAGTAGCCGCTTAGACGCAGCAGTCTCGCAAAATAGGCGGGATTTAGCCAACAACTATGTGCATTGTACCTCGCCATCGGGTAATTGGACCAGCGCCAAAGTGGAGTTTGAAGTATAAATTAGCTGTCGGACAAGGCATGAGTGTCAGGTGTTAAACTTCACACAGGTACCATGCTGCCTCTGGTAAGGCGCGGATATTACCTTTGAAGGCAGAAAACTAAACTGGCAACACAACTACCCCCCATCATTCTCTTACCATAACGTGTAAGCACAGCTGAATTTCCGTTTCTTCTTTTGCGGATATTGACTTCGGATGTCACTTGAGCCATACTGTACTGAGTAGCCAGGACAGGAATTGTGCGTCATCATAAGGGGTTGGCTGAAGCCTCATGTGAGGACAGCAGTTGACTTTTTAGGTTACATTTTCCAACTTGAGAGGAATTTGAAATTGCAATTTCGGATTAATTGAGGCATGTTGATACATACTGTTCGAGTTGTAAGAGTGAAAGGATTTTCTTCACTCATTGAGCCATACAAATACACAATGCGCCTGCTTGTAAAGTCTGTCAAATTAATTTTAAATTGATTCCACTTCAACTCTTCCAACACACACACACACGGTGAGAAAAAGTTACACTTTTCTTGACCAGATTTGTTCACAGTTGACAACCACACAATTCACTCCAGTCTCGTCTGTTTATTGAGAGAGAGAGAGAAACAAAACACAGTGTCTCACTTCCCCCTTTATTTACCTGGGTTGTTCAAACATTGGCAGATTTGGCCAGCTCTCGCTCGTGGGGTGGGCAGATTTGCAGGAAACGCTCTGTTTGCCTAACTTGTCTTAGTCATGCCCTAAGACAGTGACTGGCCGACATCTTTGTTCTAGTATGTAGTAATATTTTAAGCCTTTTAAAAGGTTGTCCGTCGAAACTAGTCGGAGCTTGCCGGAGGGCGATGCGAAGTGAAATTTGAGATGCAGCACGATGGCACTCGCTCTAAACGTCACGTAGAAGGTTATTGGATAGAAGATGTTTGCGTGTGTGTGTGTGTGTGTGTGTGTGTGTGTGTGTGTGTGTGTGTGTGTGTGTGTGTGTGTGGAGAGGGATTTTAGGGTTGGGCTGGGTGTGTTTTGGTGCTTCTTTCTGCCCTCAGGCCAATTGATTCAACCCGTGTAACATGACTCAGTCAGGTTCTAAACAGGCGGACAATAGCGGGTGCATATG